TTGGGGTTCTCTTTTTCATTCTTCACTTAATATTTTTGCTAAAATAATTTTAAACATTGCTAAAGAATAAATTTATTTATATTTTTTTATTTTCTTTTTTTTCTCGAAATTACTTTTATTTTAGAAATTAATATTTTCTATACATATATCAAAAAAATATTAAAAATACTAATATTTGTATAAATAATAATATATTTTATACTGCATTCGTGATTTATCAATATAAAATAGAAATGAAAACATTTTTTTTTTTATAATATATATGTTATTAAAAAAAGAAATGCATTAGAGATAATTATATAATATAGTAATTATCTATATAGTAGTAATCGTATCAAAAGCATGTTGTGTATTTTAAACGACGTTGCTATCAAGTGTCAGGATGGCCGAGCGGTCTAAGGCGCCAGACTCAAGGTTAATCCCCTTTTCAGTCCAAGACTGAATCAATGTGCATTCTGGTCTCCATCTGGAGGCGTGGGTTCGAATCCCACTCCTGACAAATTTTTTCTAATATTTTTATAAATATTTAGTTCCGAAAAAATACTTTGTATTTTTTAATTTTTGTTAAAAATAATTTTAAATATTTTCGGATGCGAATACCAGCGCCGCGTTTCTTGAGTTCAATTCTCATTAAAATGCTTATTTTTTTTATTGCACAGAAATAAATGGAAAATATCATATTACACGAGAGAATAGCGAAATAAAATAATTATTTTATTTTTATAACGATAAAATATTTCGCTTTGTTTTAGATTCAACAGTTTCTTTAAAATTTTAGACGCAAGTATTTTTGTGTATTAGATACAATAATATTAAATTACTTTTTAATATTACAAGAAATGTATGCTTGTAAATAATTAATTTAACGAATTTTTTGCGTTATTACATTTAAGTTGTACTAATTATAAATTCTACTACTTGATTATTTCTATTATCATCTTATGTCGAGTAATGAAAAAGCACACGTTCGAAAATCCGGTATGGTCTAGTGGCTAGGATACCTGGCTCTCACCCAGGCGGCCCGGGTTCGATTCCCGGTACCGGAATTCTTTTTTTCTTATTTTACATTAATTAATTACCTTTATCTTTTTCAATTAAAGTCACTTTATCGATTAATCTTGCGTCAAAGTAGAAATCGCAAGTCTCTAAATTTATCTACAATCTTCGAAATATTACTCGTACTTCACGTTAGATCTCAAACATTCATTAGCTACCGTATTCGCGATTTATTTGATGTACAAAATACAGTCGTTATTCGACAACACTGTTGCCTTACACTGTTCTTATTCTTCGCGTAAATGCCTAGTAAGACGTAGCTACGCTTCTCTATCGATATGCAATCACTGCCATTTTTATCGACATTTGCGGAAATGGCTTGGAGACCCAACACGTGTATTACCATCCACTCTATAATTCCGAAAAACGGTCGCAATTTTCTCGAGAGGTATCGCGTCAGAATGATTGAAAATAACCTATGGTAACTTGTCAGGATTAAAGTACATGCATACGTAGTGCGCAAACAAAATTACGTACTCGCACGTATACGGCGACTTCAAGAAAACTTTTCCACTTATTCGTAGTCGTAGAGGGACAGATGGCTCATGCATCCGGTCACGAATGGATGAAATCAATTCGAAGATTAACGAGCATTAAAATTAATTATTTGAAGTGAGAATCGAGACAGTAAATTTATCGTTCGTGCAATAATTTATTTATTACGAATAATATTGCAAAGATTTGTTAAAAATATTCATATCTTTTACGAAGAAAGTGTTTATTTTCTGTTTCATACAGGTACAGTGGTCTAGGAGAAATCGATTCGAGTTGCTCGCATATTTCAAAATACGCGTATTTCGCGTACAAAGTATGGATGTTGGTAACGATGTGCATCCTGGCGATCACCGTCTTCGCGGATATTTACGCGAATATGGATAATTTGTCGATCACAACCGACGATGGCTGCATCTTCGCTGGCATCTTCGTTGTGATATTCAAGGCGATGAACCTTCAAATTCATCGAGGAAAAATGAAAAAATTATTGCACGATATATTCGAGTGTGGCGACGATCTCTGCGAATTTTCCGGCGAGTGAAATTCGATTTACGTTATTGTATAAAAAAAAAAAATTAGAGAGAAAAAACTACGAACGATCCAATTAATGAAAACGAGAAACGTTTTTCTAACACTCGACATTTTTTTCGTAATCATCATTATTTCCTTCATTATCATTTCTGTTCATCGAATCTGAAAAAAGAGATGAATGAAACGCCTCTGAGAATAAAATTAAGAGCACGGTCGAGACCCGTATCTCTGATGTGAAATGACGCAGCAAATGATGCACGTTGACTTCATTAATTCAGGTCCACTTGGTCACTTTTCCATACCCCCTACCTTCTATCCCATCCTCCCTTCACAACCTTCCCTCCTCTTAACCTGGAACTTCTTATTCAGAATTACTCAGCATATTTCTCGTATTTCGCAACCGCTCTTTCCAACACACAACACTTTAGCTTCGTTATTGGCCAATCAACACGTTCTCTCATACTCTCGCCGAAATTAAATAAAAGCACGGACAATTGTCTCTGTGTTTAATAACCTGATTGATCGTGTGAATTTTTTTTTTTTTT